ACTTTTATTCCAACAACATTACATCAGGTAACTTAACTATTTCTATATCAGACCATTTGGCTCAATTTGTCCAGATCCCTAACACAAACTCACAAAATAACACAGAAAAAGTATATAGAAGATGCTACAAAAATTTTGACAATAAAAACTTTTTTAATGATCTTAAAAACATAAACTGGTCCCATATAATCAAAGATAATGATCATCCCAACCAATCAACTGCTATACTTTTAGATTATGTTCAGAAAATTCTAGATAAACATGCTCCACTTAAACCTCTAACTAAAAAACAACTACAGTGCAAAAATAAACCTTGGATAACCCAAGGAAATCTATAAAAGTAAAGGATAAACTATATAGAAAATTTTTAAATCTTCCATCAACTCCAGTAAGAGATAAAACATTTCATTTGTTCAAAATATACAGAAACAAAATCAGCAATTTATTAAAAGTCAGTAAAAAAAGCTATTATATAACCTTTTTTTAGATCAAACTTATACAACTTAAAAAACACGTGGAAAGGAATCAAGGAACAAATAAACATTAACAACTCTGTGCTTAAAAGTCATTCAATAAAACTTAATGTAAAGAATAACCATATTAATTATGTTGGCTCAAAAGAGCTATAATTATACTAGTCTATAACAGAATAACACAATACATAAAGTATATAGAATATCATACAAAACATATATATTTATATATATTCTCCATATTTCATATTATCATAACACTTAATATTGCTAATAATTTAGTTAGTGATGATAAACTCGTTGCTAACTCTTTCAATAACTATTTCACAAACATACCCAATAATCTTGTTAAAAATATAAAATCTTCCAAAATTAAATTTGATGACTATTTAAACAACCCAAATCAAAATTCTTTTTTTCTTTCACCGGTAACAACAGAGGAGGTTGAAACTTTTATCTCAACAATGAATACAAAGAAAAGTATAGGCCCAAATAGTATCCCTACTTCAATTTTAAAGTTATCCAGTAAAATCATAGCTGAACCTATTTGTAAAATAATAAATAACTCTTTTATAAAAGGAGTATTCCCACACTTTTTCAAAATTGCAAAGGTTGTTCAATTTACCAATTCACAAGAATGGCTCCAAACTTGAACTTGTTAACTACAGGCCTATTTTTTTATTGTCTAATTTGGAAAAATATTTGAGAAAATGATGCATGTAAGAATATACAAGTATTTGGAGATTTTTAATTGCATTTATAAATTACAATATGGATTTAGACAAAACATTCAACTACCTATGCACTTATTGACTTTACAGAGATTATTCGAAAAGCTCTAGATGAAAATAAATTTGCTTGTGGTGTGTTTATTGACTTTCAGAAAGCATTCGACACAGTAAACCATTGTATCCTTCTCACCAAATTAGCGTATTATGGAATTCGTGGAGTTCCTCTTAACTGGTTTGAATCTTATTTAAACCATAGACTTCAATTTGTAACTATAAATGAAATTACCTCATCAACCCAACCTATAAATTCAGGAATCCCTCAAGGATCTATCCTTGGGCTTCTATTCTTGGTATACATCAACAAATTAAACACACGTCTCAATAATGTATATACTTACCATTTTGCTGATGACACTAATTTGCTTATAATTGGAGACTCTTCTGACAAAGTTCAAAATAAAACCAATGAGGCCATATCAACAGTTCTTGACTGGCTGGGAGCTAATAAAATCTCACTTAATGCTAAAAAAATCCAAATAGTAGTCTTTAAAAGCAAAAGCCAACAAATTAATAACCAATTAATTTTTTATATTAATGGAGAGATATTAATTTCTTCAAAATCAGTAAGGTATCTTGGAATAATGCTGGATGAAAATCTTTCTTTTAAATACCACCACACTTATTACAGTCAAAATTGAGGCCATCTGTTGGTATGTTGGCTAAAGTAAGGCACTTTGTCAACTTAGAAACTGTAAACAGTATTTATCTCGCCATATTTGGATCTCACATACAATATGCTTGCCAGATCTATGGACAAACTAAAAATCAATTCTTAAAAAATATTTTCTCACTGCAAAATAAAACCATTAAAAACATCCACTTTCAGAATGACCGTTTCAACAATGTCTCTTTGTTATATAAATTATCACAGGTTTTAAAACTTCGCGACAACATCAAACTTTTGAATTGTACCTTTGTATGGGATTACTTGCATGGTAGACTCCCAATTACTTTCACTTCTTTTTTCTCCCAAACCAGTTCTAAACACTCCTATCTCCTTAGATCCTCATCATGCAAAAATATATTTGTTGAACATAGTCGAACAAAAATATGTGGTAAAAACTCTATAAAGCATCAATGCACCAATGAGTGGAACAATCTCCCCCACTCCATAAAAACTGAAAAACTAATTTCAAGATCTGTTTTCTTAAGTAAAATTAAACATAGCTATCTTGACAACTATACATAAAATAAAAGAGTATTATTACCAATGTTTATACTAGATTTAACTAATATTTCTATATTTATTTCTACATTAGTATTTATTATTATATTTATTGGTATTTGTATTAAATATTTAGTTAGTATTAGTTTATATATATATTAGGGTGATGCAAAATTTGTAGGTTCAAAACTTTAGTTGTCCTCAAGCTTGCCCTTGTTCTATATGACAATAGTAGTTATTGGCCAAAATTTGAATCAAATCGGATGATATTTAGGGGTTGCCATGTTTTGTCACATTTTGGTATAAGGTTACAAAAAGTAAAAAAAATATTTTTTATTTTTACATTTTTTATATTATATTACTGAATTATTTATTATTAATTTCTTATTATTATGTGGTGGATTGTGGATGTTCAATGTTAAAAAAATCAATACTATAGTACTACAATGTAATTGCACTAGGCAATAATAAATCAATCATCTTCATCATTCAACAGTCATCTTCATCAGGGTAGACTTTGATGCAACTGGAAATTCCTTCCGGTGAAGATCAACCAATCTAAGAAGAAACTGCTTTTGGTTTTCATCTTTCGTAACGCTTGAGTTAAAGGATGTTATAAGTGCTATGCCTCGTTCCGCGCAATCGTTGACGACTTTCATTTGACCAACCTTGTGCTTCATTTCAAGATATGTTGAATCCATTTCCCACTCTGAAGATTCTTTCATTAAAAATGATTCAGCTTTTTCTTTTCCATTTTTCAAAATTAGATCGAAAAGTTCTGCGGTGCGTTGTGTGACGAAGGAAGGCAATGGGCTGTGACAATCGAATGTGGCAGCATCAAGTCTTTTGAGAGATTTCTGCCTTGGCTGTTGTTTCAGGTTGTTTGCCATGTCTCTCTTGGTGTTGTTGTCGACACGGGAATCGAAGAAAGCCAATCCTATTAGATGTTCAGAAAAATACCAGAGGTGGCGATGAAAAGCTTTTGCTGCATTAATTGCAATTGTACGATTTGGATATTCTTGAATCCGTTGAAGAAGCTTGGCATCATTGAATGGTGCTCGTTCAGCTAACGGAGCTTCATTCCAAAACTGTTCGTATACAAATGCCACAAAAAGACTTATATCTGTTATTCCTTTCTTTTCCTTTGCAGTAATAACAAATTGATCCTGAAACAAATATATCTTTATACAATATATAGCTTTTGCCATCCAATGTGCATTGTGTGTTGCACCTGGAGCCCGAAACTTCACTTTGAACTCCGATGTTGTAGTTGATCCTCCAAGAAAAATAAGGCACAAATTCAAGAGTTCTAAGTAATCATCCCTGGGTTGTTGACCTTTAATTGCTTCACTATAATATACTACCATTTCTTCACGGAGTTTGAGAAAAAAATCGCAGTTGTAAAATTCTTTATTCCCTATAGTGAACACCTCCTTGTTGATTGCTGGCCATTGTTTCTGGAAACGGTTAAAAATTCCAACTTCAGGTCCTCCACTGGTTCCAAATGCAGTCGTGAAAATGGTGGAAAGCATGACTTCAAACATATGGTGCCTGCATGCTATCCATATAAGATTACGGTCAAGATTCTGCTCCATTATTGTGCAGGCACCAATGTTCAACCCAGTGTTAGATGAAGTAGTGTCAAAAACCAGTCCCCGAACAAGTTCTTTCAATTTCCAGTCTTTAAGAGCCTTCATGCAAGCATCAGCCTGTTGCTCACCTGTACCTCGATCAATCTTTGGAACGCCCAGCAATTTTTCCACCCCACCACCAGTCACAAGGATGGCAATTCTATCCACTTTTTTTTGACCACCAGTGATATCAGGTAAGAGTTTTCCATCCCAATGCAGAAGAAGTGGATCATCAGGAGAGAAATCAACCTTGTCAGCTGTAGTCACCGCTTCACGAACAGATCGCCTTTTTCTGCGGATTGTGCTGTACGACAATGATAAATCTTTTACCGAGTGACCAAGAGCCTGAGACATTGTTCCAACCACGAAGAGTGCACGGCGATCAGAAATATTAACACGATCAAGAGATGATACAACATTATTTGTTAGAACTTTTATCTTCTTTTTCGTTGAACCACTTGTGCTCAGTGTGCTGGAAGCAGAAGGAGTCTGAAATTTGAGAAAATCACAAAATTTTACCAATGGTTAATTCATTTTATAAAACATGGCAACCCCTAAAATTGCGTCTTTTAGTCTAATTTTTGGTACACATGATCCTAGGTGATAAAGGAACACAGGCAACCTTGAGGAGAATGTTTTTTGTGACATTTTTTTTTTCTATTACAATCTGAATCACCCTAATATATATATATATATATATATATATATATATATATATATATATATATATATATATATATATATATATATATATATATATAAACTAATACTAACTAAATATTTAGTTAGTATTAGTTTATATATATATATATATATATATATATATATATATATATATATATATATATATATATATATATATATATATATATATATATATATATATATATATATATATATATATATATATATATATATATATATATATATATATATATATATATAGGTAAACAGATATCTAACAATTAGATATATGCATATAAAAGAGTTTATTATGTAAAGAAAAAAAAAATTAAAAATGTGGTAGAATAGAAAATGTGATAGAACTAAAATAAAATGATGAAGCTGTTTCATCGTGGAATTGTAATTTTACTGTTAGTGGTGGTTTTTGTGGTTTTATACTTTGCTGTTTATCCTTACTATTTTGTCAACAAATCCTTTGGAGAAAAGTAAGTAAAATTTTATTAAAAGAAAAAGTAAATATTTAAGAAAATACTTTGTTTGTTACCTGCAGGTAGTAGCTATTTGAAAACTTTTCTTATGTTAAAAATATCATAATTAAATATTTCTTGTGATGCAAAAAAAATAAAAAATATTTGATTATTTTATTTATTTTATTGAAAACAACAGAAAAACCCTAAGGCTGAGTATACATTAACAAATTTTTTACTGAAATGTTAAATTGTATCAAGTGCTGGACAAGTTAGAACAAAATTGTATTAACTTGAACAAAGCAGTACAGCAAGATGGTTCTTAAACATCGAGACAGACGATGTTTGTACAGTTTAAAGTTATGACCACGATTATTCAGGTAAAAATTGAGAATAAGAATGTTTAATAGGTTGGTGTCCAGTTTACTGTTAAAAATTTTGTAGCATGAAACTAAATCTTTAAACACTCGTCAATATTCTAATGTGTTAAGCTTTAGTATGGCTAGACGCTTATCAGAGCTTGTTTTAAAGCATTAAGTTGCCGGCAATTTACGTACGAATTACGTACGCCTAGAGCAATTTACATAAAGCAACTTTTGATTTTTTTTTAACTTTTAAATTATTCTATTAAGCGGTAAGATAAAAGAAATAATTATTTTAATAAAAAACCACTTTGACAATTATGTAAAAAAGTTTGAATGGCAATTATGTTAGATAAGCGCTATTTACTAATGAAAAAACTATTAAGCTAATTATTTTATTAAACAGAAAACAAAATTGTTTATAGTAACGATTATTTATTTATTTATTTTTATGCGAAGTTATTAAAAAAATAAAAAAAAACATAAAAAAAAAATATCTAATAAAAACTTTTATTTATTATCTTGAGAGGACAAGAATTGTTTATGCAACTTTTGATTGCATTAAAAAAATTTACTTAAATTTCTATTTCTATAGTAATAAAAAATTTTACTTAATTTTTTTTTTTTTTTTGTAATGATCGATTATTTCACTTGAAAAACGCTAATGCTTTAAGCTTGAAGCAAAGATTATTATAATGTAATTTATTTCTGATAAAAAAATAAATGATTTAATTCAAAACTAATTTAACAAAAATATGTAATTTTATTCTGATAAAAAAAAGTTAATTTAAAAAAATATAATTAAATTTTGATTTAAAAAATGTTTAAGTTTATTTAAATTAAAGTCAATGCTTGGGTTTAACTTAACTGTCATATTTTTTTTTAAATATTACAAAATACTATTAAATATTTGAATTTAATTTAAAAGAAAATTAGCTCATTTTTATCGCAATTGTTTTTTCGGTTTTTCTTTCCAAAACATTTTTTTATTACTCAAAATTAAATTTTAAATAAATGGCTGCATCAAAAATTTGCACAAAATGTAAGTTAAACTTTTTTTTTTATATATAACAAGTTAAATCGCAGCAATTATTTTTTAATAAATGTTGTTTGGAAAAATAATCTTTGCTTTCACAACAAAATCGTTTATAAAATAATAAACTTTTAATAAATAAAAGTAGATAAGTTAACATATTTTTTTTATGTTACTCTCTAATTTTTTTAAAATAAAAAATCAATTCATAGTTACAATTTTTTTGTAATGATTAAAAAAATGTGTAAATAAACTTTTTTTTAATGATTAAAAAATATGTTTTTTTTTTTTTTTAAATTAACATATTTTAATTCATTTATACAATCTATCTCATGAATAAAAAGATTTTAGAATAAGATGAGCTCTGGAAATAGCCTTATGTAAGATTGATATGTTGATTGAATTTGAGATTTCTATCAAATTGGTAACTCCAAGATCTTTTATACAGTTAACATTGGCAAGTTCATGGTTATTTATGGTGCAAACACACTGGGTTATGTTTTGACTCTGGTTGGCAATAGTACAGACAAAGGATTTTTCAGTTGCTATTTGGAGTTGCCAAGTACAACTCCATTCATACAAACGATTAACAGCTGTGTGAAGGTCTGACTGAAGGCCACGTACATCATAGGCTGAGTATAAATAATATCATCAGCAAAAAGTTTAAGTTTGGCATCAAGCTGTTTAATATTGTGGCTCACATCATTGATAAACAATAAGAGTAGAGTAGGCCCAAGAACGCTCCCCTGCTGAACACCGCTTGTTACAGATTTAGCATGGGAAGTAACATTGTTTAAATTTACCACCTGTGATCTCATGTGCAGAAAATTAGTTAGCCAATTCAGAAGATTGCCAACTATTCCGTAAGCAGGTAATTTCATTAGTAACTTGAGATGTGAAACTGAATCGAAAGCTTTCTTAAAATCAAAATAGATATCTGTTGGAATACAGCGCTGAATATTTAAAGTCCAGTCATGAAGACTTCCTAGAATATTAGTACAGGTACTACGTTTACAAATAAAACCATGCTGCTCTTTTGAGATTTGGTTATTGAGTTAGAGATAATTAATCAGTTTGTTGTTAATGATTCTTTCCATTACACGACAACAAGTAGGTGTCAAGGAGATGGGTCTATAATTACCTGGGTCAACTGTAGGTCTTTCACTTTCAAGTCTAGCGGTAAAGCACCATCTTTAAATGAGGTATCAAATAAATGGCTTAAGGGAATCGATAAACTATTAACACAATTCTTTAGGAAAACATTGGGAATGCCATCTAGACTAGTAGATGTGGTGGGTTTAAGTGCTCTCAGTGCTTTTTCAACGAAGAAGAGAAGTTAATAGATGACAGACAAGTTGAATGTGCGTTAACATGATCTGTAAACTTTGGTGATAAACCATTATCGACTGTAAAAACACTTGCAAAAAAGTTATCAAAAATACAAGATATTTCTTCTTTATCATGACAAAGGGTATTATCGGATCGATGAATGTCATTGATTTTACTACAGGTTTTGAGTTTTCCATTGACAAAATTAAGAAACTGCCAAGGTTGTCTTTGCGTATCATCTTAAGTTCTTTTGCTGTATGATATTTTCTAATGGAATCAGAACATTGTGTGGCACTTGATTTATAAGCTGCTTTGTCATTAGGTTTACCTGTTACTTTTGATCTTTTCCATGCCATTGCTTTGTTGTTTATCAACCTTTTAAAGTAATAAGGATAGTGTATTTTATGTGATAATTTATGCTCACAGACTCGCACTTAAGGTACATGTTGTGTAGTCATGTTATTTAGTATTGTAAAAAAAGTTCAATATTAAAACATGTTTGAAAGATAATACTCCAATCTATCGATTTCAGATATTTATTGATAACTTGGTAATCTGTATTTTTCTAACAGAATAACTGTTGCACTGGAACTTCAGTTTTATTATATTAGCAGCTCAAATTAGGAGTGAATATGATTACATTATGATCACTAGTACCAAAAGGTGGTTCAATACAGAGATTACTGATAAATGAAAAACTCAAAATAAGATCTAAGATGCTATTTTCTCGAGTTGGTTGATCAACATGCTGAGTGAGACTATATCTGTTTATTAAATGTAAAAAAGAGTTATGTATAACACTATCTGGACCATGATTTATGATATTTTTTGAAAAGTTTTAAGAAAAGTTTTCTTTTTAAATAAACTAAAAAAGGTATAAATTGCACATTGTATTTTGTTTCATTTTTTTAAATTAAAGTTCCTTAAATTTGTCTTTTTTCAAAATTTATGAGACAAATCATAACTAATTCTTATTTTAATAAGGTAAGTGAAAAAGAAAAAAGAAAAAGATTTTTTTTTTTTAACTTTTATCACTAAAATAAATTAAAAACTTGTTTTCTAAGGGATATTTGTTTAAAGACATGTTTTCATTCTTCTATTTAGTATACCATTTCATCAATATTAAAAAAGTTTTCAAATATCAAAAAAACCTGTTAAAAAATCTTTGTATTTTTTCTAAAGGTGTAAAAACAGTTCGATAGAGAGTAAAACTACCTCAATCAGAATATATATTGAATATTTTTTTAAGAGTAAAAATTAGATTATCAATTGAAACTAAATTTATTCAATTATCTTAAACTATCAATTTAAAGTAATTTTTAAACTATCAATAAAAACACTTGAAAAATTATCAGTTAATTACTTGCATTAAGTTATTTAGTTAATTTAATTTAAATCAAAACTTATTTCATTTATAAAACATTTAAAAATATTTATTTTGTTGTGTTTCATAAGTTTTTTCATGTTGTTACAACTAAAAATAAAAATTTGACCATTTAACTTGTTGTGAAATTTTGCTAATATTATAATACATAAAGTTATTTTATTTTTGTGTCTTTATCGCTTGGCAAACAAACTTTATATTCTGCAAAATGGAATTTGAGCTTTCATTAATTATGTTAACAAAATGGGGGAAGTGTGTATGGAAATTTGTTGACAATTTTTGACTGGGGGGAGGAGGAGGTCAAGAACGTTTCTTTTTTAAATAAATTTAGTTACATAAAAAAAGAAAAAACTAGGCAGTGTTTGTAGTCTTTTGTTACATTCTCACTCACCCTTCAGTATTTTATTGACACAAACTATATTTCTTTTTTTTTAAACCGTAATGTGCTTTAAAGATACATACACATACAGAATTAAATAAGCACACACAAGATTTTTACTTGTAACACTATTATTATTTCAAAGTTTGTGTTTGCTGGTCTGCTGTGAAAATGAATAAAGATTTATCTAAGTACACAGTCTACATTATATTGTTTAAATGTTTATACCAGGGATTTGGCAGTCTGCTGCTCGAAAGTCAAATGTGATGTTTAAATGCAGCTCTTCAGCTCCATGCACAAATATTATTATAATATTGAAAACAAGATGTTAGTAGCTCTTTAAAAACTAGAAATTTTTTGTAAATTGTAAACTTTGGCTCTTCCATCTTAAAAGATTGACAACCCTTGGTTTATACAAATTATCAAATGCAGTATTTTGTTATACTAGACTATGTTAGAAATAATTTGATTTCAATGTGATATTGAACAGGGTCTAGAGCTAAAGTAACAAGGATTGGTACATTCACGGATTGTGACTTGGCACTGTATTTAAATTATAATAAATATTTAACATTATCTAGGACTAGGGCTGTTGACAAGATACTCGCTTATTAGTTACTATCTGGCAAGCATTATCAAATGCTATCATTATCCAAAATTACCCAAATGCTACCATTATCCAAAAAATATATTTTTTTTGGATAATGGTTTCATTATTTACAGATAATTCATTATATATATATATATATATATATATATATATATATATATATATATATATATATATATATATATATATATATATATATATATATATACATTTTTTTAAGCTTATATTTAGTAATGGTAATATAAACTGGTATATATAAAATGGTAATATAAAATGGTAATAAAAAAATATAAACTTGTTGTGTGAAAGAAGACTTTATTAAAAATTTCAATAGTTACAATTTCTTTATCATAGAATTTCTTTATCAAAACTTTCAGAAAACATCGAAGAATATTCTCCTCCAAAAAAGTTTTAATGTTTCTCTTTGTTCTTTTAAATTCCATAACCGGATTTTTTTATTATTGATTGACATATTATTTTTTTATTATTATTGACATATTATGCAGTTCTTCGATAGGTTGCATGAATTTACTTTTTTTTACCTTAATGCACTAGAAGAAGTTTAAACTAAGAGTGTTGCATGTAGCAATCACTTTTACTTCTTTTTGTTCAGAGCAAGCTTTTGTAATTTTAAATGGTTGTATATATTTTAAAAATGTTAAAAAGTTAAAATTTGAGTTAAATTTTTATCTCTAAACATTTGACTTTAAATCATTTTTTCATAAAGTTAACCACTACAATTACTACTGTTTAAAATGTTCTGTTTTTCTCACCAGATGGAAAAGAGGGGTGGGGTAGGGAGGAGATAATTAGTTGTTGACATAATTTGAAATTTTGATAAGTTGATAGTTTGATAAATTGAAAGTTTGATAAGTTGTTGACAAAGAGAGGGGAGGTAAAAATCGCCAAAAAATTGTTGATGTAATTATGGACTTTAGCAAAAGCTCTCCTTATGTAAGTGCTGCTACAAAAAGCGCTACTTTTATAAGTAAAAAAAATGTTTCATTATTAAAATTCAACTTTAGAAAGACCATATTTCGGAAAAAAAATTTATTTCTGATTGTCAATATTCTTTTGAATGAATTCATTTTTCTGTAGTCATTTGAAATCTTACGGTTTACAACTCTAGTTATGAAAAATTATTTATACAGTTCAATATGTCCTATTTTATGACTTTCTCATTTACATAATTGAAAAATAATGAAATTTAATTTTATGTACCAATCATATATTAATCATATAACATTCATTAATTAATAGAGTAAATATATAACAGTAACAGGGAATTATTTACAGCATTATAAAATCTAAATAGAAGCAATGAAATTATTGTGAGGAAAAAAGAAGTTTTTATTTTTAAAAAACAAAAAATCTTTTATGCATTGGAATTAAAGCTTAATGAGGTTTTATACTAATACTCTTTTTTTTATTCTGAAAATAGTTTGTCCATTATAAAAAATTTTAATAAGTAAATTAAATATTTCCAATAATTGCTCTTTGAACTACCTCTCCCCCTCACTCCATCTGACCTTGAGCCCACCACATATGCTAAAAAGTTAAAATTAATTTACAAATTTATTATTGACATCAAAAAGACTTTGAGAATAATTTTTTAATTGTATCAGTACTTGTGTATAAATTTTCTGCAGACGTTATGTAAACCTTTTTTTTCTTTCTACAGACCCAGCCAGAGTTGTTAGTCCTTTGCCTTGGCCTCTGCCTTGCCTTGAAGCCAAAAATAAAGGCCTTGGCCTTGATCTTGGCCTTGGCCTTGTAACATGTGGTTTTTGCCTTGCTACTTTTGGCCTAGTTATTGAATACTGGGTCCAATTCTGGAGCCAGCATTCAATAACCACAATTTACATTAACTTGTTGACAAGGAATAATATTAAGTATAGATTTGTTCTGTATTTGATATACTACCTTTATCCGACAGAAAGCGAAGAAGTATAAAAAATATATACATTATTACTTACTGGAGTTAAGGCGGATTTTTAGGCGTTCAAACCAGTGTCAAAATTGACCTTGATATGTCACTGCTTTAATATTCAATTTATATGTAGTTATGGCACTTTAACAAAAAAAACAACAACTGGTATTTAAATCTGCCATGTGAAAGATTATATTAAATTCAAATCACTACCTCATTATGTTCATTAAATATTGCTATTTAATGATAAAAATATGTAAGTATATAATATATATATATAATAAATGCTGAGTCAGCATACATAATTAGATTGAAACCCAAATATCTCTAAAAACATAAGGTGTTGGATGTTCCAATTTTTAGATTAAACATTCCAAAAACTGATAAAAGTTTTTATCAGTTTTTGGAATGATCATTATTGTGTAAAGAAAGATTCCTATTTTAATTCAAATTATGTTTGATTTATAGGGGAAAGTCGGGTAGCTCCAGGGCCAACGACACGGGTTTCAAAGTGGACGAGCACAATCGTCAATTTTTAAAAAAAGTCCTCTATATCTAGACTTTTCTTTAAAAATAAAAATAAAAAGTCCTTTAGAAAAAAAGAAGGGAGGGGGGCATGTGCCACCTTAGTCAATTAAATGAGTTACTGTTATAGGTTTGTGTATTGTGTTCGATTTATTAATATTCATATAAAAAATATTGCTCATTTTTAATATGTAAATGGATTAAGTTGTCCAGAACCACCCTCCAAACATGTGTCCGATACCGCCCGATCATACTTCATTCATAAAAATTAGTTTTAAAACCAGTAAATTAAAAGCATTAAACAATTTTTTTTTAATAAATAATATAAATAAAAATCTTTAATTAGTAAAAAGTTTTTTGTTTACATAAAATTGTCTGTATTAGTAGATGAATCAAATATGATGACACATCTTCTTGTGGTGGGAAACAATATCTTGCACTCCCAGTCAATCGTTTTGGCATATTATAATAGATATTTTGCATATACAATACTTTTACTAAAATGTTTTTTTAAATTACTTTTAGTTACTTTCCCCTAATCAATTCATAATGGTGTTAAATCGGGTGCATTTTTTTTAACGATTTAAAAAAAATGCACCCTCTTTAACACCATTATGAATTGATACTTTAAAAACAGAAACAGTTTTGTTATATTTTACAACTTTTTTACCGTAAAAAAAATGTTTTTTCTCATCTAACCTTTTATATATATAAATATTTATATATATATATATATATATATATATATATATATATATATATATATATATATATATATATATATATATAATATATATATATATATTTATTATTATTTTTTTTTAAGATCTTCTCAGAACAACAATGGGGTATCTTTTACTACTGAAAAACCAGAAGTAATTGATATTCACAAGTTAAATGAAGAATGGGAAAATTTTCTTTCCCTAAAGTCTCAACTTGATAAAAAAAAAGACATTGACGTAGTAAGAAAAAATCGTTTGAATAAAAGTAGAGTTCAAAAACAGGGAAAAACAACAAATGCGCCCCATGTAAAATTTATCAGAAAAAATACATCAACATCCAAACTGGTTGAAGCTACAGAAAGCTTGATTACTGATAGTGTGATTAAGGCTCCTGCTGTAGGAAAAGACAATGAAAACCAACCTGTAAAAGAAGTCTCAACCATTGTTAATCATGTGAGACAAGAATCTCTAAGCAAATCCTCATTTGAAAATGAGAAACTAAATTCTAAATCTTCAAAGAAATGGTTAATTCTTATTTATACTCACCTTCATAAATTTGAAGAATGGCCTAACCTTCCAAAGAGTAAAACAAAAGGTTATTTCAAGAACATTTTATGTAAAGCAAGAAATTGTCGTGTGACCTATGATAAAAGTTTGTTTAAAAGTTCTGATGCTGTTATTTTTCATGAAAGGAATATGCCTGGACCTGATATGTTAGATACATTGAACAGTTGGAGAACTGTTCAACAGAGGTGGATATTTTTTACGTCAGAGACTCCAAAGAATTCTGACACTAATATTGTCCCATATAATGGGTTGTTTAATTGGACAATGACCTACAAAAAGGATAGTGATATTTACCTACCTTATTTACAATATCGAGTATTAGATGAAAATGATTCACGGCCTCCTGCTAATTATGACTATTCAAAATTAAAAACCATGTCAACTGCTTGGTTGGTAGGTAATTGTAAATTTTTTTTCCGAATGGAATACGTCCGTTTATTGCAAGAGTACACTGATATTCATGTTGGTGGTGGTTGCAGAGATAAATTTAAAAATTGGATCAATTGTACACGATGGTGTCCTATTGAAAATTTAAAAACTTATAAGTTTTATTTATCATTTGAAAATGGCATCTGCACTGACTATATATCGGAAAAGTATTGGAAATATTTAGAACTTGGTTTAGTTCCTGTAGTTTTAGGAGGATCAGACTATAATGATCCGAGATTAGTTATTCCAGGATCTTTTATTGATGCATCAAAGTTTTCATCTGCGAAAGAATTAGGGTTATACTTAAATTACCTTGATAAAAACGATACTGCATATAACGAATATTTTAGTTGGAAACAAAAATACAAAATATGGCATCCTCCTGAGGGAGATTGGCCATTTGAAAGTTACTTTTTATGTAAATTATGTGAAATGCTAAACGCAGATTTACCTAAAAAAACATATTGGAGTTTATCAGAATTCTGGAATGAATATACTGATTGTGAAGTGCCAGAAGAAAACTTAAAAAAAAGTATGTTTCCTGAAAATTTTGATTGGGAATATCCAAACAAGCGAGAAGATGAAAAGGAACTTATAAAGAAATCGATCATTCGTAAAAACTTCGATGAAGAATGAGTATCTGTATTTATAATTGTATTTATTATTTTTATTTCTTTATTAGTGAATTAAAGTAGACAAAGTTAGGTGTTTGCAGATATAAGTTTTTTTCACTTTAAATTATTTATCTCATTGCGCACTCTTGATATATTTTAAATTTTATTTATTGTTACTTTAAAGTTTATATATATATATATATATATATATATATATATATATATATATATATATATATATATATATATATATAATATATATATATATATATATATATATATATATATATATATATATATATATATATATATATATATATATATATATATATATATATATATATATATATATATATATATATATATATATACAAACAATATATACTTTTATATACAATATACACTACCGTCCATAATTATTCGAATGGTCATACTTATCGATTTAAGATATCAGAGTTTTACTTTCTGAGGAATTAGAAACAAAGTCTACCTGAATTATATGTTTTCTTCCTATTTAATAGGTTTACAAAAAAAAAAAAAAAATCCCATTAGATTGATTTATAGTTTACTTGCCTTTTAATCATCCTTAGTGACAATAACCGCCATACATATTATTGGCATTCATAACAACTTATCCAATTTTCGATGACTTCGATGCATAAGATGTGGAAAACCTAATCATTTTTTTCCACATTTTATGCATCATTACACATTTGTTTTTGACATTACTTCTCAAAAAAAATCCGATAGAATAGAGATCTGGTGATTGGGGAGGCTAAAGCATTCTATTCAATATTTGATCGTTCTCGAATTCAGTCAAATAACTTATACAATTTTTTTTTGAAAAATATGTTTTGAATTTATGTTTTAAGTAATTTTCTTCTAAAAAAAATAAATGGCTTTCCATTAAACAATCTTTCCGAAGGTTCAACCAAAACAAAACCACACCTTAAAACTACATCCTGCATGTTTTACAGTCTACTACATACTATTTACACACTATTTTATCATATATTCAACCTTTTTTTTTCTAGACAGTCTTATCTTGAGACCAAAGATTTAAAACTTCGACACGTCGGTCTACGTTTACAGTCATTGATGGTCCATTTTTATGCAGTTTTGCACACTTTATTATTCTTATGATTTTTATCAAAGCATTTTAATCAAAATACTTTTAATTTATCTAATAGTGCAAAAATAAACATAAAAAATAGTTAAATAAAAAATAGCATTAAAAGAAAAAAATGTCATTCGAATAATTATGAACGGTAATAATTATAAATAATATATTTTTATAAACAATGTTTATATTTATTAACAATATATAAATTCATTAACAATATATAAATTCATATATATATATATATATATATATATATATATATATATATATATATATATATATATATATATATATATATATATATATATATATATATATATATATATATAGAGAGAGATATATATATATATATATATATATATATATATATATATATATATATATATATATATATATATATATATATATATATATATAGATATAGAGATATATATAGATATATATAGATATAGAGATATATATAGATATAGATATATAGATAGATATAGATATATATACAGGGATGCGGAGTCCAGATTTGAAAGTCACAAAAAGATTACTATTATATATATATATATATATATATATATATATATATATATATATATATATATATATATATATATATATATATATATATATATATATATGTACTGAAGCCCCCGGCAGCAGGCTATTCGACATTAGGTGAATATGACATCATCACGCTCACCTAACTCAGCAGTATAAGATATATATGTTTTTATATTTATAAATGTTAGTTAACTGCAATGCAACCTTATCGCGTTGTTATACAGTATTGTTAACTTTTAATGACTTTCGTCTCATTCTGCATCACCATTCTTAATGAATTTTATTTTTTAAGGAATTTAACAGTAGCGTAGTTTTTTTATTGTTTTAGATTAAAGCTATCATTATTGTAACATCCTTATGTGACCATGTGAATGCTACTTTGTCTTTACAGATGAAACAAAAAGGTCATTTAGAGTTGTTGAGTGAATCGTTTCTTTATTACAGTTGTAACCTCCTTTTGAGAAATACATTAAATCCAACTATCTTGAGGGTTTTCACTTTCTAGAACCTCAAGACTTATAATCTTCTCTAATTTCTTTAATTGATTTTTGACTCTATTTTAAAAATTTGCATTTTATTATATAATTATCTGTCTTACATCTGATAATCCAAGGATTTTTGTGTTTCCTCATTGGATAATCTTTCCAAGGTGGTACTTCATCTAAAATTTGAGTGAATATCTATAAATATAAACTTTTAGAAAACATACATTTAGTGTTAAATGGATCACACTTTTGAACGTTTATATATATATATATATATATATATATATATATATATATATATATATATATATATATATATATATATATATATATATATATATATATATATATATATATATATATATATATAAACGTTCATGTTCCGTTTAACACTAAATGTATGTTTTCTAAAAGTTTATATTTATAGATATTCACTCAAGTCAACATGAAACAATTGTTAAAGTATATTAATTACTGCTCTGCGTACTAAAATTGCAACTACCACCTGGCAAATGAATGAAGATGATACTTATATCTAATGAGTAAATCCCATATTAATTTTTAAAAACACTAAGCTACTAAATTGCTAATTACCTTTTGATCTGACAAATAAAATGTTTATAAGTAAATAAAGAACTAAGGAGATTTATTTTTTGTAATTGTCTGTGCTTTTTTGAACAAGAGGCTTTCGATTGATCAAGTATTTTCTTCCAATATTCTTCAAAAGATATATAAAATGCAACACCAAAAGGTTGCAATAAATGGATAGAGTTACTAGTTATAGAACAAGATACTGTTTTCTTCGCAACAAGATACTATTTTTTTAGTAAATTCAAATTCAAGTACCTTTTCACTGTATAGATTGCTTCGATTATAACTAATAAAAACCTTCCTACAATTTGACAAAAAAACAAGAACAAACCAATCAAAAAAGTGAATAGAATCAAATCATTCTAATTGTATTGCATATTAGGTGGTCCACTTTCGGCTCTTATAGTCCATTAATGGTCAGCTTTATAAACATAACCAGAGACAATTTGACCAGAGGCACTAAACATGATTGACGTTACATAATTTGTTGTACAATTGCTAATTTTTGCATATTTGTAAAAACTATGAATTCTCTATGTGTTTTCGGATTTAGTTTTTAACTCTATTATACAAATTAATTGGCAACTTGCACCCAATGAACATCTAATAATATTTATTGTTACCATAATAATTGAAAACTGGCACTCAGTTTAATTTCTATACAACCCTGTATCAATTTTTTTTTGTATAAAAGTGGGATAATACTGTTATGTAATGCTAAACAAAAACCAAATTTAAAGATGAATAACAGTACTTTCAACAAATTTAACTCTACACAATAGTGTATACACACATATTATATGACATATTTTTTATACAAGATTTTAAATTTGTTAGTGTTCTGCAAAAAAAGTATATACACACAGACACACACAAACATAGTTTTTGCCGACCTGATGGTAACCTCAAAAAGATTGAGGTCGGCAAATTACACAGGTCTGCAAATTAAATTTTTTTTTTTTTTTTTTTGGAATGGGTAAATTATATGTATTTTGGTATGCTGATTTCAATAATACCATCCATTTCGACCTATCACGTAAGGATTTTTCGTTAAATTGAAAATAAAATATGGACAAAACCCGCCTTACACTACTATTTTAGACAATCATAAGAAGAAAAAAAATCATAATATTATACAAATTTAATTAATTTTAATCATAAAATAATTTGTTTACAGTATATACATCTATAAAGCTTTATAAAATCTAGTTTTTTTAGTTTCAAAGCTTCGTTTAGTGCTTTTTCTTTTGTGGGACGTTACATTTTCCCTATGCAGCAGTCGCACATCATATTTGTATCCCATCGACCTTGATACTAACTAACTGATACTAACTGCACCTAGATTTTCCGGGAAGTAATCTAAATGGGAGTTCAAAAAATGGAGTTTTAAACTCATGGAGCATTCCAGATTTTGAGAATTGCACAACATATTTTTTACAATATTTTTAAAGTCCGAGTCTTTATGATTCCCTTGAAACTTTGTAACTACGTCTTTAAAAGAATTCCATGCTGACCTCTCAGCATAGTTCATCACATTTTCGAAGTTTTTATCTTTCATTAGCTTACGAAAGTCAGGGCCAACAAAGTAACTCCTATATACAAAAACGGAAAAAAATCAAATATAAGTAATTATCTCAGTTCTTTCAACTTTCTCAAAAATTTTAGAAAGAATTATATACAATAGAACATACTATTACCTTAATCTAAATAAACTTCTATATAAAAATCAATTCGGTTTTAAAAAAAAATTGTTCAACTGAACAAACCATTACACAGTTCATTCGTGAAATCTCCAATTAATTTGGTAGATCACAATATAGATTAGGTATTTTCACAGACCTATCAAAAGCATTCGACACGGTCGATCACAAAATTCTACCTAAAAAACTCAAATTTTACGGAATTAATGGCAAATTAATAAAATGGTATAAAAGTTACTTGAAAAATAGAAAACAATTTGTTTTCTATGGAGATTATTTTCAAAATGAAAAATTAATTGACATAAAATGTGGTGTTCCACAGGGTTCTATTCTAGACCCACTTTTGTTTTTAGTTTATATACATGATTTAAATATAGCTTCTAACCTTATGAGTATCATTTTTGCGGACGATACTAATTTATTTCTGTCAAACAGTGACATTTATGAGCTTTTTTCAAATATGAATAAGGAACTCAATCTCCAACTGGTTTAAGTGCAACAAGTTAAAAACAAAATGGATCCTTTTCCACTCTCTTGCAAAAAAAGCGTTTTTTACCAAATAAATTACCTAAACTTTTTATTGATAAAATTGAAATAAAAAAGGAGTCGGTCACAAGATTTTTAGGCATTTACATTGATGAAAATATTACA